CGGTTTTCAGGCCACCTGCAGCGGCGCTAGCCTACTGGGCTGCGCGAGCTGCGCCACGGTAAGGGCCGCGTGCGTGTGTGCGCGCGCCCCGCCGGCGTTCTACTGTCTCGCGCGCGGGCAGGGGAGATCCTTTGTAGACCGCTACAAGTCTAACACACGACTTCATCATGTCGACTGAAGAAGGCGAGCGACCGGCTCGAGCGGGCTGTCGAGCGGCTCGACAAGCGCTCGCAAATGGCCGACCATCGGCGCGAGACGCGCATACGACGGCGCTGGCGAGCACATCGCCGCTGTCGAGCGCGAGCGGGGACTCGCTGCACGCCGACCTCGATGCGCTCAGGTTGGGCGGCGCAGCTTGCGCGGGGCGCTCGCCGACGCCAAGCAACACACAGGCCGCCACGTCAGGCCAACGAAGCGGTCGCAGAACGCCTCGATGACGCGATCGGGTCGCTGCGTGTGATCTTGGGAGTCTAGAACGGGCAATGGGCGAGGTTGCGGTCACCATCGGGGGCGGCGGTTACCCGGTCTCCTGCGACGATGGCCAAGAAGAGCATGTGGCAAGCTCGCGGCTATGTCGACCGGCGTGCACAGGAGCTTTCGGAGACCGTGGCAGGGTCGGCGAGGTCCGCCTCCTGCTCATGGCCTGCCTCGTGATCGCCGACGAGCTGGCGGACCGCTATGACGAGCTCGACCGGCTGCAATCGCACTCGAGGCTTGCGAGAGAAGGGCCCGCGTCGACGCAGAGCGGGCTCGACAGCAGGATGCGCCGCTCGTCGAGGCGCTGGCCGAGCGCATCGAGACATTGCCGGCTCCCTAGAGAAAGATAGATTCTTTTCGGACGGTTACTGCCGGATGTCGCGCCGACTGTTCCCGCGGTCAATTTTCGTCTCTCGGGAGCTGTTCCCTGCCGGGCTCGGTCTCGGCAACACGGCGCCCACCTGGTCAGATCGCCTGGAGGAAGCTCTGGGTGCAACGGTTCAGGCGGGGCCGTCCTCTTTCCTCTCATGGAGACGGCCGTGTTCCAGCGCCGCATCGATGACCGCAAGCAGGCGCTGCGCGAGTACGCGTGGCGCGGCGGCGGTCTGCGCGCCGGGCGGCAGGGCCGGGGCGGGCGTCCGCGCCGCAACCACTACTGGCTGCGGTTCCCACGCCTGCGGCGCGCGGTCGTCTCCGCTATGTGCGCGATCAGGGACGAGATCGATGCACCTGCTCGCCCTGCGTGGCCCAGCTCGTCGAGCGTCGCGGCTCTCTGTGTTTGTCGTCGCGTGGTGGGCAAGAGGCCGTGGCACTCCAGTTTCTGCGTCTGGGACATCGGGTGGCGCCCTGCCGCGCGTTCCGCATCCCTGAGCTGCGGAGGACGCCGCGGACCTGACCCGGCCCCCACTCTGGTGCCGCTGCTCGCCTATGAACCGTGACGGATACCGCTTAGGCTACGCGGCGGCTATTACGACCGTTCGCTGCAGCGCTGCGGCAGACGCGATCATCGTTGCGGTGGGCCTGGCCTATACCGGGCAGCTCAGCCCGGCCTGCCGCGGGCCCGCACGACGAGCCTTGGACTGGATCGTCACCGAGCGCGGCGCCATGCCCTCACCCGCGCACGGTCTGATCCTAGGCACAAGGGGAGCCAGAGGAATGCGCATCCTGTTCTGCGGCGATGTCGTGGGCCGCCCGGCCGCGACATCCTGTCGGAACGCCTGCCGGACCTGCGCGAGGAACTCGCGCTCGATCTCGTGATCGTGAACGGCGAGAACGCCGCGGCGGGCTTCGGCATACTCCGGAATATGCAAGGTCCTCATCAGGTCGGCGCCGACGTGATCACTGTGGCAACCACGCCTGGGGCCCAGCGCGGCACCGAACGCTATATCGAGACCGACCGACGGCAGAGCCGTGCCGTAACTACCCGAAGGGCACGCCGGGAGCGCAGGTGCGCTGCTGCATACGCAGGACGGCCGACGGTCTTCGTCTTCCAGGTGCTCACCGCTTTCATGGACCCCATCGCGAGCCCTTCGCTGCGTCGAGAGACGTTGCAGGAGCATCGCTCGGCAGTCCGTGATGCGATCGTTTCGCGACGTCCACGGCGAAGCGACGAGCGAGAAACAGGCGCTCGCCTACTGGCCGACGGCCGCGTGTCGCTGGCGGTGGGCACCATACTCACGTGCCGACGGCCGACCACCGCATTATGCCAGGGCACAGCTACATCTCGGACGTCGGCATGTGCGGCAACTACGATCGATCATCGTCTTGACGTGGACGCGCAGCTCGCCCGCTTTACGAGAAAACGCCCGGCCCTCGCGCCACACCCGAGGGCGAAGCCACCTCTGCGCCGTCTGGTCGAGAACCGACGACCAAGGACCGGACGCCGCGCGCCATGTCGGCGTACTCAGAACTGGCGGCGTGCTCAAGGGCTCCTGGCCTGCGTGACCGGAGCGCCAGCGACGGCCGAAACAGACACCGCCGGCGTTAGCCGCCAGACGCGTGATGCTCGTGCTAGCGACCGCCCGCGCTCGCCTGGCGCATGGGCTCGGATGGTGCGGCGAAGTGGGGGACCACGTCGCGCGCAAAGCGCTCCACATCTCGTGACAGATAAGCGCGCGTGGCATGCCGTAGGTCGCGTTCTGCAGGATGAAGTGTCGAAGCCGAGATCGACATAGGCCTGGAGCTTCTCGCACACGGTTTCGGCACGGCGCGACCATGCGTGGAGGTCGAGCCACGGGACCAGATTTTCCGGGTTGGTCAGTCTTCTTGGAGGTGGCCATGAACTTGCTGTAGCTTGATTCTTCCAGCTCCTTCCAGGGGTCGGCGTCGCCTCGATAATGCTCGACCACATCTCGAAGTAGCGCGACAGATGAACCTTCGCGAGTGCGACTGCTTCTTCGTCGGTATCCGCCAGCACCGCGTGGATACAGGATCGGCCGGGTGACGTCGGTGGAGCCGCCCGCGGAGAGTCTCGTCATTCCAGCGATCGAGTCGTTGCTGTGGAAGTGCATCGGGAGTTCGAGACCGGATCATGGCAGGTCGAGCTCGGCCATGATGCCGCGCTTCTCTCGGGGCTGCTGGTCGCGCGTACAAAACTCACCCTCTCCTGCATGGCCTTCGGCCTGAGTCGATGGGACCGCTCGATGTTGAAGAACTCGCCCGATAGTGTGAAGGTCCCGCCGGCGAGCGCCTTGCCGATAACCTCGCGGCACTCGCGGAAGCGCGCGCGGGTCTCGGTCATGGAAACGCCGAAGGCATCGTATTCGAGGCGCGCGAGGCCGCGCCGAAGCCAAGTGTAGCGTGCCCGCGGCTGAGCTGGCTCAGCATCGCGATCTCGCTGCGAGCCTGAGCGGGCTGTACCAGTGTAGAACCAGTACACAGGTCCCGAGGTCCATGTCAGGGTGGCGCCGGCGAGGTGGGAGAGCATCACCAGCGGCTCGGCGTCGGAAAAATAGTCGAGAGTGGTGTTCGATCACCCAGAGCGCATCGTAGCGAGCCCGGCCGACGCGATCCGCGTCCCCAGCGCTCGACGTATTGCCCGCGTCCGACGCGCCGGGCTCGCAACCGCCGAAATGACCGTTCCGAACTTGATCTCGCTCATGGCTCCTCGTCCTCGCCGACAGCCCCAACCGATGCCGGCGATCCTAACCGGACGCCGAAAAGAAAACAAACGTTTGGTTGGGATCTGGGTCGCGAGCCCGTCATGGCTTTCTGCCCATCGATTGGAAAGCGCCGCGCAGACCATGACCCTGGTGAGAATTCCGGGCTATAACCCCGCCCATGACGGGGCTTCCCTTCGCCAAGATGCATGGGCTCGGCAACGACTTCGTCGTGTTCGATGCGCGCCGCACGCCGCTCGCGCTCGATGGCGCGCGCGTGCGCGCCATTGCCGACAGGCGACCGGCGTCGGCTGCGATCAGGTGATCGTCGTGGAGCCGCCGCGCAACGGCGGGACGGACGCCTATCTCAGATTCTGGAACCAGGACGGCGGCGAGGTCGCAGCCTGCGGCAACGGTACCCGCTGCGCGGCCCGGCTGCTGCTGGACGAGACTGAGCAGACCAGCATGATTCTGGAAACCGACGCCGGCTGGCTCACCGCCGAGGAGGCCGGCGGGGGGCAGGTGCGCGTCGATATGGGGCCGGCACGGCTCGACTGGCGCGATATTCCCCTGGCCCGCGCAGCCGACACGCTCCATGTCGCCGTGGGCGCCGGGCCGCTCGGCGACGCCGTGGCGGTCAACATGGGCAACCCGCACGCGGTGTTCTTCGTGGACGACGCCGATGCCGTACCCCTGGAGGCGCTCGGACCTGGCCTGGAGATCGATCCGCTCTTCCCCGAGCACGCGAATATCGGCGTTGCCCAGCGGCTCGCCGATGACCGCCTGCGGCTCCGGGTGTGGGAGCGCGGCGCGGGCCTCACACAAGCGTGCGGCACGGGCGCCTGCGCTGCGGCGGTCGCCGGCGCGCGGCGAGGGCTCACCGGACGCAGCGTCACGGTCGTTCTCGACGGCGGCGAGTTGGGGATCCTTTGGCGCGAGGACGGCCATGTCGAGATGACCGGCCCCACCGCAGCGAGTTTTTCGGGCGTGCTGCCAGGATGAGCGGGCTCGAGGTCATCACCTTCGGCTGCCGGCTCAACGCTTACGAGTCGGAGGTCATGCGCGCCCGTGCCCGCGCTGCGGGTCTCACCGAGGGTGTCATCGTCAACACCTGCGCGGTCACGGGCGAGGCCGAGCGCCAGGCGCGCCAGGCGATCCGGCGCGCCAGGCGGCGGAACCCGGATGCGACGATCATCGCCACCGGCTGCGCCGCCCAGCTCGACCCGGAAGGCTATGCCGCGATGCCGGAAGTCGACCGGGTCGTCGGCAATCGGGAGAAGCTCACCCTCGAGGGCCTGACACCGGACGCGGACGAACGCGTCGCGGTCGGCGACATCATGGCGGTGCGCGAGACCGCGGGCCATCTGATCGCGGGCTACGAAGCCCGCACACGGGCCTTCGTTCAGGTGCAGAACGGCTGCGATCACCGCTGCACCTTCTGCATCATCCCCTTCGCCCGCGGCCCGAGCCGGAGCGTGCCGCTCGGCGCCATCGCGGCCGAGGTGCGGGCCTTGGTTGCCAACGGCCACCGGGAGGTGGTGCTGAGCGGTGTGGATCTCGGCCACTACGGCACCGACCTGCCGGGCCGGCCGCGGCTGGGCGAGGCGGTGCGCCGCCTGCTCCAGGCGGTGCCGGAGCTGCCGCGGCTGAGGCTCTCCTCCATCGACCCGGTGGAGATCGACCCCGCGCTGGAGCGGCTCTTCGCCGAGGAGCCGCGGCTGATGCCGCACCTGCACTTGAGCGTGCAGGCTGGCGACGATCTGGTGCTCAAGCGGATGAAGCGCCGCCATAGCCGCGCCGACGTGCTGGCGCTCTGCCGCAGGCTCCGCGCGCTCAGGCCGGGCATCGCCTTCGGCGCCGACCTGATCGCGGGCTTTCCGACCGAGACTCAGGAGATGTTCGAGAACACGCGACGCCTGATCGCGGACGCCGGGCTGATCTGGCTCCACGTCTTCCCCTATTCGCCCCGCCCGGGCACGCCGGCGGCGCGCATGCCTCAGGTACCCGTTGCTGAGCGCCGCACCCGCGCGGCGGCCTTGCGCGCTGCCGTGGAAGGCCCGCGCCGGCGTTTCCTGGAAGGGCGCGTCGGCCGGGAGAGCCAGGTGCTGCTGGAGAAGGCCGAGAGCGGGCGCGACGAGTGCTTTGCCGAAGTCGCATTCGACCGTCCGGCGGGATCGCCGGGCGAACTGGTGCGCGCGCGGATTACCGGAGCGACAGGCGACCGCCTGATCGGGACCGTCGCCTGATGGCACGCGAAGACGGCGGCGGGCCGTGGCCTGCTGGCGCGTCTCAAGGCAGGGCTTCGGCGGACCTCGAACAGCCTCACCAGCGGCATCGGGGCCATCTTCACCGGCCGCCGTCTGGACGAAGCGGCGCTCGAGGAACTGGAAGAGCTTCTTATCGCCGGCGATCTCGGCGCGGCGACCGCAGCCGAGCTTACGGCAGCACTCGCTCAGCAGCGCTTCGGCGCGGAAGTGACCGCCATCGAGGTGCGGCGCGCACTCGCCGATCAGATCGCCGATCTTCTCGCACCGGTCGAGGGCGCGCTCGCGATCGACGACGACGCGAAGCCCCACGTGATCCTGGTGGCTGGCGTCAACGGCACGGGCAAGACCACCACCATCGGCAAGCTAGCCCAGAGCCTCAGCCGCGAAGGGAGGCGCGTCATGCTGGTTGCGGGAGACACCTTCCGCGCCGCCGCCGTGGAGCAGCTCACGATCTGGGGCGAACGTGCCGGGGCGCCGGTGGTGGCACGCCCGGACGGCGGCGACCCCGCCGGCCTCGCCTTCGACGCGCTGGAACGCGCCCGGGCGGAAGGGATCGACGTGCTCCTCATCGACACCGCCGGCCGGCTGCAGAACAAGGCGCACCTCATGGGCCGAGCTGCAGAAGATCGACCGCGTGCTCAAGAAGCTCGACCCGCGCGCGCCGCACAGCCGGCTCCTCGTGCTCGACGCGACCACGGGCCAGAACGCGCTCAACCAGGTCGATGTCTTTCGCGAGGCCATCGCCGTCGACGGCCTGGTGATGACGAAGCTCGACGGCACGGCGAAGGGTGGCGTCCTGGTGGCGCTGGCACAGCGTTTCGGCGTGCCCGTGGTGGCGCTCGGAATCGGCGAGGGGATCGACGACCTGCGCCCCTTCGAGGCCCGCGCCTTCGCCACCGCCCTGATGGGACTCGACGAATAGAAATTTGTCGCTCACGGCGTCCGGCCTGCAGCCGGCGCCTCCGCGAGGGCGCCGCAGGGGCGGCGGGCCGCGGTCGCGGCCTATCGCGAGCCCGCCGAGGACGGTCTCGCTCAAGCTGAATTCAGCGGCGTGCGGGGATGCCCGGCCGATAGTCGCCGACGTCGCCGACGGGATTGGTGAAGGGCGCGAAGTTGCCGCCGTCCGGCGCTTCGGCATTGTGGCGAAGCGCCCAGGTCACCGACGGGAACGCGAGCGAGTCCCAGGGAATCTCATCCGGCCGGAAGAGCCCGACCTCCAGGCTCTCGATCCCCGGTGCGATCTCGGGCTGCGCGAGGTGCGCCCGGTAGAAGAGCTGCACCAGGCTGATTCGGGGAATCGTGTAGACCGCGAGCAACGCGTCGATCACGATCTCGGCGCCGGCTTCCTCCTCGGCCTCCCGGCGGGCGCCGTGCGCGGGATCTTCGTGCAGCTCCAGGAAGCCCGCCGGCAGGGTCCAGAAGCCTGCCTGCGGCTCGATTGCCCGGCGGCAGAGGAGGATGCGCCCCTCCCACGTCGCGACCGAGCCCGCGACGATCTTCGGGTTTTCGTAGCGGATGAAGCCGCACGCGTCGCAGACCAGGCGCGGCCTGTCGTCGCCCTCCGGCACCCTGCGCGCGATCGGGCCGCCGCTGTTCGGATAGCGCCCCATGATGGTCCGAGTATGAAGCGCGCGCTCGCCGCGAGTCCAGCCGTCCGGTTGTGGGCTGTGGGCCGGCCAGGAGTTGAGGGACCGTGATCGGCGGGCGATCGAACGACACGATGATTTGATCGCCCGATACCGGAAACCGCGACTCGTGCTATGCCAGAACGAACTAGATTAGACAGACCTGCCGGCGGTGCGCGCAGGCACAGGGACCCGCCGCCGACGTCAGGAGGAGATGGACCGGTGAAACTCAGTAGAAGACGCTTCGTTCAGGCCTCCGCCATCGCCGCCGCGTCGTCGATGGCGCCATTCTCGCCTCTGATCGCGCCTGCGGCAGCGCAAGAGGCAACCCACGGGCTCTCACTCTTCGGAGACCTCAAGTACGGCCCCGAATTTGCGCACTTCGACTATGCCGAGCCGAACGCGCCCAAAGGCGGCGTGCTGCACCTCGCCACAGTCGACACCTTCAGCACGCTCAATCCCTTCACGCTGAAGGGCGTGAGCGCGGCGGGCGCGGGTCTGCCCTTCGAGAGCCTGCTCGAAGGCTCGGCGGACGAGGCGGATTCGGCCTACGGCCTGATTGCCGCCGGCGTCGCGCTCGCGCCCGACCGGCGCAGCGTGCGCTTCCTCCTGCGGCCGGAGGCGCGCTGGCACGACGGCACGCCGATCACGGCCCGCGATGTGGCGTTCTCGTTCGAAATCCTCACGACCGAGGGCCATCCCGCGTTTGCCAACCAGCTTGCCGGCGTCGACCGGGTCGAGACCGCCGGCGAGCACGACGTCACCTTCCATCTCGCCGATCCCGACAACCGCAAGCTGCCGCTGATCGTGGGCGGGTTGTCCATCGTCTCCGGGGACTATTACCGCGAGCACGCCTTCGGCGAGACGACGATGGAGCCGCCGCTTGGCAGCGGCCCCTACCGCGTCGCCAAGGTCGATCCGGGCCGCTCGGTCACCTACGGGCGCGTCGCGGATTATTGGGGGGCTCAGCTCCCGAACAACGTGGGGCGCTTCAATTTCGACACCATTGTCTACGACTATTATCGCGACCGAACGGTCCTGGTAGAGGCGTTGAAGGCAGGCGAATACGACCTCCACGAGGAGTTCACGTCCAAGGTCTGGGCGACGCAGTACGACATCGCCGCCGTTGAGGAAGGATGGCTCATCAAGGACGTGCTGAAGGACAACACGCCCTCAGGCGTGCAGGCATTCTTCTTCAACACGCGGCTGCCCCAGTTTCAGAACCGCCGCGTGCGCGAGGCCTTCGCCTACGCCTTCGACTTCGAGTGGCTCAACAAGAACCAGTTCTATGGAATCTACGACCGCATGGCGAGCTACTTCGAGAACTCGGAGCTCGCGGCGCGCGGCCCTGCCGTCGGAGGCCGAGCTCGCCCTCCTCGAGCCCCATCGCGGCGCGGTGCCCGACGAGGTGTTTACCACCGAATTCGTGCCGCCGAGCACCGATGGCTCGGGCAATAACCGGCGCAACCTGCGCGCCGCCGCGCGCTGCTCAAGGAGGCCGGCTGGGTCACGCGGGACGGCGCGCTCGTCAACGAAGCGACCGGCGAGCCGATGACCGTCGAGTTCCTCTATTTCGAGCCCACCTTCGAGCGCATCTACGCGATCTTCGCCGCAGCCTCGAGCGCCTCGGCGTGGGTGTGACGCTCCGTCTCGTCGACGGCGCGCAATACGAGGAGCGGCTCAAGACGCACGACTTCGAGATCACGACGATCCGCTTCGTGTTCAGCCTCTCGCCAGGCGCCGAGCTCAACTCCTACTTCGCAAGCAGCACCGTGGACCAGATCGGCTCGTTCAACATCCCCGGCATCAAGGACCCGGTGGTCGATGCGCTAGTCGCCGAGGTCGCTGCCGCGACCGACCGGGACTCCCTCATCGCCGCCGCCCGCGCGCTCGACCGCGTGCTGCTCTGGGGCCACTACATGGTCCCTCAGTGGTATAAGGGGGCGCACCACCTCGTCTACTGGAACAAGTTCGACAGGCCCGCACTCAAGCCCCGCTACGCGCGTGGCATCATCGACACCTGGTGGTTCGATCGGGAGAAGGACGACGCCTTGAGGGCCTACCGCGAAGGCGCGGCGTGAGGGGCGGGGGCGCCCTCCGGCTGCGATGCCGGGTCAAGGCGCGGAGTGGCTCCGCGCCTCGTGGGCCGATGCCGTTGGAGAGGGAGTGCTGATGGAGCGTCAGGGCTCCAGCTAGCACCGCACGCGACGCGACAGCCATGTTCGCCTACATCATCCGCCGCCTTCTGCTGATCATCCCGACGCTTTTCGCGGTCATGGTGATCAATTTCGCGATCATCCAGATCGCGCCTGGTGGGCCGGTCGAGCAGGCGATCGCGGAGCTCACCGGCAGCGCCGTGGGCGCCACGGCCCGTATATCCGGCGCCGGTGCCGGCGAGGTGGGCACCGAGGGCCAGTTCGACGTCTCCCAGCAGGCCGGCACGAGCAAGTACCGCGGCGCCCGCGGCCTCGACCCCGAACTGATCGAGCGGCTGGAGAAGGAATACGGCTTCGACAAGCCGCCGCTCGAACGATTCCTCCACATGATGGGCCAGTACGTGCGCTTCGATTTCGGCTCCAGCTTCTTCCGCGACGATCGCGTGGTCGACCTCGTCCTCGACAAGCTGCCGGTCTCGATCTCGCTCGGGCTCTGGACGACGCTGCTCGCCTATCTGATCTCGATCCCGCTCGGCATCGCCAAGGCGGTGCGCGACGGCCAGCGCTTCGACGTCTGGACCAGCGGCGTCATCATCGTCGGCTACGCGATCCCCAATTTCATCTTCGCAATCCTCTTGATCGTGCTCTTCGCCGGCGGCAGCTATATCGACTGGTTCCCGCTACGCGGGCTGGTCTCGAACGACTTCTCCGAGCTCTCTCTGCTCGGCCAGATCGAGGACTATTTCTGGCACCTGGCGCTGCCGATCCTGGCGATGGCGGTGAGCGGCTTCGCCACCACCACGATGCTGACCAAGAACTCCTTCCTGGATCAGATCAGCCAGCACTACGTCATCACCGCGCGCGCCAAGGGCTTGACCGAGCGCCGCGTGCTCTATGGCCACGTCTTCCGCAACGCGATGCTGATCATCATCGCCGGGCTTTGCCCGGCGCCTTCATCGGCATTCTGTTCACCGGCGTGCTGCTGATCGAGGTCATCTTCTCGCTCGACGGGCTCGGGCTCTTGGGCTTCGAATCGCTGCTCAAGCGGGACTACCCCATCATCTTCGGCACGCTCTTCTTCTTCACGCTGCTCGGCCTCGTCGTGAATCTGATCGGCGATCTCATGTACGTGATCATCGATCCCCGCATCGACTTCGAGACGCGCGAGGTGTGAGCGGTGGCGCTCTCCCCCATCACCCGGCGCAGGTTCTACAATTTCCGCGCCAACCGGCGGGGCTACATCTCGTTCTGGATCTTCCTGGCGCTGCTTCTCGTCACGCTGTTCGCGGAGTTCATCGCCAACGACAAGCCCCTCGTCATGCGCTACGACGGCGCGCTCTACTTCCCCGTCTTCTTCGCATATGCGGAGACCGAGTTCGGCGGGGACTTCGAGACCGAGGCGGAGTATCGCGACCCCTTCGTCGCCGAGCTGATCGAAGAGAAGGGATGGATGGTCTGGCCGCTCATCCCCTACAGCTACCGCACGATCAACTACGACCTGCCGGTGCCGGCGCCGGCGCCGCCCTCTGCCGACAACTGGCTCGGCACCGACGACCAAGGACGCGATGTCCTCGCCCGCGTGATCTACGGCTTCCGCCTTTCCGTCCTGTTCGGCCTGATTCTCACCGTGTTCGCCTCGGTCATCGGCATCGCCGCGGCCGCGGTGCAGGGCTTCTTCGGCGGCTGGATCGATCTCATCTTCCAACGCTTCATCGAGGTCTGGTCGGGGCTGCCGCAGCTCTTCGTCCTGATCATCCTGTCGAGCATCATCGAGCCCAACTTCTGGGTCCTGCTGGTGATCCTGCTGCTGTTCAGCTGGATGGCGCTGGTCGGCGTGGTGCGCGCGGAGTTCCTGCGGGTCCGCAACTTCGACTATATCCGCGCGGCACGGGCGCTCGGCGTCGGCAACATCGCGATCATCTTTCGCCACGGGCTGCCCAACGCGATGGTCAGCGCAGTCACCTTCCTGCCCTTCATCCTGGTGGGCTCGATCACGTCGCTCACCTCCCTCGATTTCTTAGGCTTCGGCCTGCCGCCGGGCGAGCCCTCGCTGGGCGAGCTGCTGCGCCAGGGCAAGGCCAACCTGCAGGCGCCGTGGCTCGGCATCGTGAGCTTCATGGTGCTCGCCCTCATGCTGAGTCTGCTCATCTTTATCGGGGAAGCCGTGCGCGATGCCTTCGACCCGCGCAAGCTGGTGGGCCGGTGAGCGGGGGCGTATGAGCGCGCTGGTCCGCATCCGCGACCTCGCGGTCGATTTCACGAGCGCCGTCGAGACCGTGCGCGCCGTCTCCGGCGTCTCCTTCGACATCGAGCGGGGCGAGACCATGGCGCTGGTGGGCGAGAGCGGCTCGGGCAAGTCGGTAACGGCGCTCTCGATCCTCCAGCTCCTGCCCTATCCGGTCGCCTCGCACCCGAGCGGCAGCATCGAGGTGGACGGCACCGACGTGATCGGCGCGTCTGCGCGCAGGCTGCGCCAGATCCGCGGCGACCGGATCTCGATGATCTTCCAGGAGCCGATGACCTCCCTCAATCCGCTCCACACCATCGGCCGCCAGGTTGCCGAGGTGCTGACGCTGCACCGGGGCCTGCCCAAGCGCGCGCGCTCATCCGCGCGCAGGAGCTGCTGGAGATGGTGGCGCTCGGGCGAGACCGCCAAGCGCCTCAAGGCCTTCCCCTCACGAGCTCTCGGGCGGCCAGCGCCAGCGGGTGATGATCGCCATGGCGCTCGCCTGCGAGCCCGACCTGCTGATCGCCGACGAGCCCACCACCGCCCTCGACGTCACGGTGCAGGCGCAGATCCTGAAGCTGCTGGGCGAGCTGCAGCAGCGCCTCGGCATGGCGATGCTGCTGATCACCCACGACCTCTCGATCGTGCGGCATATCGCGGACCGGGTCTGCGTGATGCGGGACGGCGCCATCGTCGAGAGGGCCGTGTGCGCGCATCTTCGAGGCCCCTGCCCACCCCTACACGCAGATGCTGATCGCGGCCGAGCCCAAGGGCGAGCCGCTCGCGGTGGACGGAGCGGCGGCGGAAGTCGTCGCCTGCGACGACCTCAAGATCCACTTCCCCATCAAGGCCGGCGTCTTTCGCCACACCGTCGGTCATGTGAAGGCGGTGGACGGCGTCACGCTCTCGATCCGGGAGGGGCAGACCGTCGGTATCGTCGGCGAGAGCGGCTCCGGCAAGACCACGCTCGCGCTGGCGCTGCTGCGGCTGATTTCGAGCGATGGCCCCATCACCTTCGAGGACCGCTCGATCCAGGGCCTCACGTTCAAACGCATGCGGCCGCTACGGCGGCGGATGCAGATCGTCTTTCAGGACCCCTTCGGCTCCCTCAGCCCGCGCATGACCGTGCGCCAGATCATTGAGGAAGGGCTGAAGCTGCATCGGCTCGCCAATGGCGACGGCGGGGGCGATCCGGTCGCGCGGTGCTGGAGGAAGTCGGCCTCGAACCCGCGATGCAGGACCGCTACCCGCACGAGTTCTCGGGCGGCCAGCGCCAGCGCATCGCGATCGCCCGCGCGCTCGTGCTGAAGCCCCGTCTGTTGGTGCTCGACGAGCCGACCTCTGCGCTCGACATGTCGGTCCAGGCCCAGATTATCGACCTCCTGCGCGCGCTCCAGGCCCGGCACCGCCTCGCCTATCTCTTCATCAGCCACGACTTGAAGGTGGTCCGCGCGCTCTGCCACGAGGTGATCGTGCTGCGCGACGGCCATATGGTGGAGACGGGGCCGACCGAAGCGATCTTCGAGGCGCCCCAGACCGCCTACACCCAGGCGCTGCTGGCCGCGGCCCTCGACCTCGAGGCGACCGAGACCGGCGCGGTCAGGATGTAGGCGGCGGTCGCGCCGGCCTACGCGAGCGCGAACTGTCAGGCCCCGCTTCTGGAAGCGGTGAAAGTCCCGTTCGTTGGTGGTTGCAATAGGCGCATTCTCGGCAATCGCCGTCGCCGCGATCATGCAGTCCGTCAGAGTCCCGCGGCGTCGGCCCGACAGATTGAAGAGACGCGCCGCGATCTCCGCATGAGTGGGCGTGAAGTCGATGTGGCGATCGACGATGTTGGTGGCGAACTCCAACGCTGGTCGCTCCAAGGGACCACACAGGAACTCCGCCCAGGCGACCGCGCTCACTGCAAGGGTCTCGTCGGCGTCGATCCATTCCTCAAGCGCGCGTTCCTCGGGCGATCCCGATGGAAGCGCCCTGATCAGGAAACTCGTATCAAGATGGATCATCCCTAACGGACAGCCGTTTGACGGAGGACGCGTGGCGTTCGGCCCGAACTTCTCGCTCCCAGGCCGCGACATCGATGCCGCGCTGTTTCACAGAGGCCTGCAGTTGCCTCAGGGCTTCCAGTTTCCTCTTCGCGCGCGGGCTTTTCTCCTCCGCAGCCGCGCGGATAGCGCGGCGCAACACTTCGGACTTGGACACGTCCCAGCGGCGCGCCAGCGACTCCAGCGTGCGCACTGTCTCAACATCGAGCGAATAGGTCGATTTGATCGTCGTTATGGCCATATCTCTAAGTATGGCCATACTGTGGTCAGGTCAAGCGGGCGAGTCAAGAATCCGAGAAGTAACGCTGCAGGATGCCGAGATAGATGTCCGTAAGCTGTTCCAGCGACTCCACCGGCACGCATTCGTCGGTCCGGTGCATGGTCCGGCTGAGAAGCCCGAACTCGGCGACGGGGCAGTGGTCCTTGATGAAGCGGGCGTCCGAGGTGCCGCCGGTGGTGCTGAGGGTGGGCGTCATGCCGGTCACGGCGGCGACGGACTCGGCGATGATGGTGCTGAGCCGGCCCGGCGGGGTCACGAAGGCCTCGCCAGAGACCTCGATCGCCAAGTCGTAGGGCTCGCCGGTCGCATCGAGGTGGGCGCGGATGGTGCGCTCGAGGCTCGCGCCAGTGTGGCGGTCGTTGAAGCGGACGTTGAAGCGCACCACCGCCGCGCCGGGAATGACGTTCGTGGCCTCGTTGCCGACGTCGATCGAAGTGAGCTCCAGCCGGCTCGGCTGAAAATGGTCGGTCCCCTCGTCCAGCGTCAGAGCGAGCAGCGCATTCAGCAGCGCAACGAGACGGGGCAGCGGGTTGTCCGCCAGCGCCGGATAGGCGACGTGCCCCTGCCGGCCCGCGACCCGGAGCGTGCCGTTGAGGCTGCCGCGCCGGCCGATCTTCACCATCTCGCCGAGCTCTTCGGGGTTGGTCGGGTTCCCCCACCAGACAAGCGTCGAGCGTCTCGCCGCGCTCCGCGAGCCAGTCCAGCACCTTGCGCGTGCCGTTGACCGCCGGCCCTTCCTCGTCGCCGGTGATCAGCAGGCTGATGGAGCCGGCGCCGGCGCCGGCCGCGCCGAAGCGGGCTGCGGCAGCGACGAAGGCGGCGATGGCCCCCTTCATGTCGCTCGCCCCCCGCCCGTAGAGGACGCCGTCCTCCACGACCGCGGCGAAGGGATCGCGGGTCCAGACCGCACGGTCGCCCGTCGGCACCACGTCGGTATGGCCGGCGAAGCAAAAGTGGGCCGGCCCTCGCCCCGCCTCGCGTAGAGATTGTCGACCGGTGCGGTTCCCGGCTCCTCGAAGGGCAGGCGGTGGCAGGTGAAGCCGAGCGTCTGGAGCGCGCGTTGCAGCACGTCGAGGGCGCCGCCGTCCGCCGGTGTCACGCTCTCGCAGCGGATCAGCGCGCGGGCAAGCGCCAGCGGATGCGCGAGCGCTTCAACGCTCGCCTGGTCCTCCCGGCTCTCTTCACTCAATTGCGGAGAAGCTCGTTGATCGAGGTCTTGGCCCGTGTGCCCGCGTCCACCCGCTTGACGATCACCGCGCAATAGAGGCCGGGGCCGGGCGAGCCGTCAGGAAGGGGCTTGCCCGGAAACGAGCCCGGCACCACGACCGAATACGACGGAATGCGCCCGCGATGGATTTCGCCGGTCGCGCGGTCGACCACGCGGGTCGAGGCGCCGACATAGACGCCCATGGCCAGCACCGCGCCCTGCTCGACGATGACGCCTTCGGCCACCTCGCTGCGCGCGCCGACGAAGCAGTCGTCCTCGATGATCACCGGGTTCGCCTGGAGCGGCTCCAGCACGCCGCCGATGCCGGCGCCGCCGGAGATGTGGCAGTTCTTGCCGATCTGCGCGCAGCTCCCCACCGTGGCCCAAGTGTCGATCATGGTGCCGCTATCGACATAAGCGCCGATGTTCACGAAGGAGGGCATCAGCACCACACCGGGCGCGACGTAGGCCGAGCGCCGCACGATGGCGCCGGGCACGACGCGGAAGCCCGCATCCTGGAAGCGTGCTTCATCCCAGCCTGCAAACTTGGACGGCACCTTGTCGTACCAGGGCGTATCGGCCCCCGGCCCGCCCGGAATCGTTGCCATGTCGTTGAGACGGAAGGAGAGCAGCACCGCCTTCTTGAGCCACTGGTTGACGATCCAGTCGTCGCCCTGCTTCTCCGCAACGCGCGCCTCGCCGGAATCGAGCAGGGTGAGCGCGGTCTCCACCGCGTCTGCGGCGGCACCGCCGCTCGCGGGTGAGAGCGTGTCGCGCGCCTCCCAGGCGGCTTCCACCGCGCGTTCGAGGTCTCCTGTACTCACCGGTCTCTCCCTTGCTCTCCACTGCGACCGCGGGTGCCGTCCTCCGCCGGCTACGCCGGGAGCGCGGCGAGCCAGACGGCAAGATCGTCGGTCACATAGTCTGGCGTGATCTCTTCGGCGCCGGACGACGCCCAGTCACTGTCGTTGCGCACCCAAACGGTCGCCATGCCGAGCGCAGCAGCGGGCGCCAGGTTGCGCAGGATATCCTCGAACAGGATCGCGCTCTTGGGCTCGACATCGTGCACGTCCGCGAGCCGCTCATAGGCTTGGGGAAAGGGCTTCGGCACCCAGTCGGCCGCCTCGATATCGTAGATCTCGCTGAAATGGTGGCCGATTCCGAGCCGCGCCATCACCCGCTCGGCATAGGGTGCATCGGCGTTGGTGAAGACCAGCTTGCGGCCGGGCAGCCGGCCGAGCGCCGCCTCCAGGGCATCGCTCTGCGCGATGGGCGAGAGATCGATGTCGTGCACGAATTCGAGAAAGGGCGCGGGGTCCATGCCGTGCTTGAGCATCAGGCCGCGCAACGTGGTGCCGTATTCGCGGAAATAGCTTTTTTGCAGCCGCTTGGCCTCAACGTGGTCGACGTCGAGCGCAGTGGCGATAAAGGCGCCGATGCGTTGGCTCACCTGGTCGAAGAGGCGCGAGCTCGACGGATAGAGGGTGTTGTCGAGGTCGAATATCCACGTGTCTATGTGCGCGAGGTCGGCGCCCGAAGGCGCGCTCCGGGCGCCTTCGGTCAATTGCATTGGCCGTTGGAACCCTCCGCGCACACCTTGTTGCCGTCGATCCAGATCGCGCCCGCTGAGATCCGCCTTGAGGAAATCGGTCGCGTCGAGCCGGGCGCCGGTGAAGTCGGCACCGCGCAGATTGGCGCGGAAGAAACGGGCGCGCCTGAGATCGGCGCCTTCGAACGAGGCGCCGGCCAGGTCCGACTTGGTGAAGTCCGTGCCGATCAGGCGCGCGCCGGCCCAGCGCGTCTCCACCAGGACGGAATCGGTGAACTTGGCGCGCCGGGCGTCAGCCGCGGAGAAGTCGGCCCGCGTGAGGTCCGAGCGCGCAAAGAACCCATCGCGCAGCGTGGCGCCGGCGAGGTCAACGTCGACGAAGTTCCGATTGTCGAGAAGACAACGCCGCCAATCGACGCCCGGCTGTGGCGTATCGGTGCAGGCGGCTTGTGCTCCCGGCGCGGCGAGCGCGAGCACCGCCCCGATCAGCCCCGCCGCCACCACGCTCCCTCGTCTCATTCTGTCGGGCATTGCCTGGATATATCCCGATGCGCCGCTCAGTCGCCCTTTGGGTCCAGCCTGCTGCTGCCCTCGGGCTCTTCGGGCTCATGATTGATACGCTTGCCGTCCAGCGTGCCATCGCCGCGCGCCGCCTCGGCTTGCGTCACCTGCCTCTCCGCCTTGCTACGCCCCGATCGCGCACGGTTCGCCGCGCGTTTCTGCGCTTTCACGGCCCGTTCGCGCTTCTTACGAAACTGGTTAAGGTTGACGACATCGCCCATGACCAAAGGCCTTTCGGTACGCCGGCAAACGTGGTCTAAGAAATGCGGGGCCTCCCATCCGATCTGACTCGTCCGATCGAGAGGCAAGCCTAGACGAAATGAATCGGGCTGTTAACCGGAGTCGACCGGGGAGCCGCCGTTTGGGCAAAGCGCCCGGCTACCCCGCCCCGAGGCATGGCCAACAGTGAAATTCGTTTACGCTGTACTCGTCCTTCTGGTCCTCGTCGTCGCTGCCCTCTTCATCGTGCCGTCTGTTCTCGATTGGGAGCGGTTCAAGCCCGAGATCACGGAGCGCCTGGAGGCCATCACCGGTCGTGAGATTGCGATCGACGGCGCGCTCGCGGTCTCCATCCTGCCGACGCCCACAATCAAGGCCGCCGACCTTCGCATCGCCAACGCGCCGGGCGCGGTCGCCCCCGACATGGCGCGGATCGCCTCGCTCGATCTCACGCTTGCGCTGGGGCCGCTCCTCGGCGGCAAGATCGCCGTCACCAGTCTCGAGATGGTGGAGCCCGTGATCGAGCTCCAGCGCCTCGCCGACGGCCGTCCCAACTGGCTCTTCGAGCCTGAGACCGACCCGACGGTGGAGACCTCTGCCAGCGGCGAACCGGAGGCAGCCGACCTCGGGCTTACCAGGATCGACTTCTGCGACCATAACGAACGGTACGATCGTCTATCGCCATGCGGACGATGAGCCCCCGGCGCGAATAGACGGGATCGACGCGGCGATCTCTGCCCGCTCCCTCGACGGTCCCTTCCGCGGGGAGGGCAATTTCGCCGTGCGCGGCCGGGCGATCAAGTTTCAGCTCGCGACGGGCACGGTCGGCGAAGACCGCACTCTGCCGGTCTCGTTCGAAGCGACGTTCGGCGGCGAGCGGGGCAACGCGCTGTTCGAGGGCATCCTCAACGGCATCGACGGGATGCCTGCGTTCGACGGCAGCGTGCGAAGCGAGGCGCCCGACTTCGGCGCTCTCCTGAATGCGCTCGCCGTGGATCTCGGGTCGCTGCCCGCCGCGCCGCTTGGTAGCGAGTTCTCCGCCAAGGGCGAATTCAGCGTGCGCGCGGATACCATCGCCGCACGCGAGCTCCAGGTTCGACTGGGCGAGAGCCAGGCGAATGGCACGCTCTCTTGGCAGGGTGGCGACGTGCCGCGGTTAGCGGCCGAGATCGACCTCAACCGCATCGACCTCGATCGCTTCCTGCCGGATGACGGCAAACCCAAGCCCGCGGGATCGGCAGGCTCTGGCAGCGAACCGCAGACTGCGGAGGCGGCGGGCTCGGACGGTGCCGGGCAGCCGGGCAGCGCAGAGGCTCTGGCCACGCCGCAATCGATCACGGACGACATCCGGCGCGAGATTCCCACGAAGATCGATGCCGCTCTTGACCTCACGATCGGTGCGCTCACCTGGCGCAAGGGTGTCATCCGTAAGGCCAGGGCGCGTCTTAAGCTCGAGAACGGCGTGGTCACGATCCGGCAGACGTCGGCGCTGTTGCCCGGAGGCGCGGACGTCGACCTCGCCGGCCGGCTGACCGCCAACGGCAACGGCCAGTGGATGGAGGGTGTCGGCGAGATCGAAGCCGAGGACCTGCGCGCCACCCTCTCCTGGCTTGGCGTAGATGTGGGGGCAGTCCCGGCGGATCGGCTCCGACGCCTCAGCGCGAGTGCCGATCTCTCTGCCAGCGGCGATCGGCTGTCGGCATCCAATCTCGACATCAGGGTCGATACCACGCGGATCGCCGGCAACGTGTCCATCGAGACGAGCGAGCGGCCGCAGATCGCCGCCGACCTCGCTGTCGACGCCGTGAATGCCGACGCTTACCTGCTCGATACAGGTCCGGCGCCGTCACGCGAGTCCGACCAAGCGCCGTCGCAAGAGGTCGGCGATGCGGCTGACGCCTCGCAAGGGGCGGCACAGCCAACGCCGGCGCGCGTGGGGGTGGAGCGTGGCCGGTGCTCGACGAGATCGACGCCGACGTCGCGCTCAAGATCGATGCGCTTACCTACGGGGGTGTGCGCCTGGCCGGGCTGGAGTCTCGACGCGGCCCTCGACCACGGCGGCCTGACCCTGCGGCGGGCGTCGGTCGCGGACGCAGCGGGCGCCAGCATCCTGTTGTCAGGCACCGGGCGCACGGTCGGGACGGCGCCAAGTTTCGATCTCGCGGTCGAAGGCTGCGGCTGACTCGCTCGACGGTGTCCTCGCGCTCCTCGACATCGATCCCGACATTCGCGCCGAGGCGTTCGGCAAGGTCACGCTGAATGGCACGCTCGCGGGCGATGAGGACGTGCTGTCGATCGATCTCGCTCTCGCTGCCGGCGCTGCCCAGGCGTCGCTGGCAGGTACCGTCGAGCAACCCTTCGGCGCGCCGGCCGCCGCGCTCGCCCTCAGCCTCCGGCACCGGATGCCGCCTCGCTCGCCCTCGCACGCTGCCGGGCTCACGCCGCCGCCTATCGTCACCGGCTCGGCGCGCTGGCGATGGAGGGTAGATCGACGGCGATCTCGACTCCGTCGCGATCAACATGAGCGCCGAGACCGCCGGCGCGACGATTCAGGTCGCGGGCAAGGTTACGGATCCGTTCGCTCTCCCAGCTACAGCGTCGATGTCGATCTCGCTCACCCGCGCGGCGAGGCCCTGGTCGAAACCCTGGTCGGCGACGCGCCGGCGGATGTTGCCCTCGGGGCGCTGCGCCTCGCCGGGAAGGTTTCCGGGGACCGGACGGTGGCCAAGCTTCGCCGACATCGACGCCATGATCGGCGACAGCACGCTGACCGGCGGGGTCTTCCTCCGCCTTGATCAGGAGCCGCCAGGGTTCAGCGCCGACCTTCATGGCGGCGTGCTCGACCTCGCATGGTTGGGCGGCGGCCTCACGACCGCGGGCGAGACGGAGTCCGGCGAGGCACCATCGTCAGGTGCCGCCCTTGCGGGCACCGGCACCGAGGGTGCGGCACCGGAGTTCGCGCGCTGGTCCGACGAAACGATCGACCTCGCAGTCCTCGATCGGCTCTCCGGACACGCTTGCGCTCGACGCCGAGGCCCTCCTTCTCGGCGCTTACCGCATCGAACAGGCCGATGTCGATATAGCCGTAGCCGAGGGGACGCTGACGCTGCGTTCGCTCACCGGCCGGCTTTTCGACGGGGCGCTGAAAGCCGACGGCAGCCTTGCCGGCGGGCCGGTGCCGGCGGGGCAGGCGGCATTCCGGCTCACCGATGCGGAATTGGGTCCCATGCTGCGCGAGATTGCAGGCGTCGATGCGGTCTCCGGCCGCGCCGAGGTCGACGGGTATTTCACCCTGCGCGGGCAGACGGCCCGCGAGATGATGCAGAGCCTCTCCGGCCGCGTCGCGCTTGCCGCCAGCGAGGGCGCCGTCGAGGGCGTGGACGTGCCGGCGATCAGCCGCCAGATCGACGCGCTCTCCAAGGTCGATACGCTCGACGACATCGCGAGCTTCGTCGATGGGACCGAGCAAAGCCTATCCACGGGCGAACGGCAATCCGCTCCCTCGATGGCACCGTGCGGGTACAGGACGGCCAGGCACGCATCGACGGCTTCGAGATCGTCGCCGAGGGGGGCGTCGGCGAAATCAGCGGCACCGCCGACGTGCCTGCGTGGCAGCTGGACCTCACGGCGCTGTTCCGCCTCACCGAGCACGCGGATGCCCCGCCGGTGGGCATACGGTTAGAGGGGCCGATCGACCAGCCCGAGCGCCGCTATCTGATCGCGGACATGCAGGCGCACCTGGTCAAGCTCGGGCTGCTCTCGCTCGCCGGCGCGCCCGACATGCCCAAGATCACGCTACGCAAGGGCGCGAAGGCGGAGCCCGGAACCGAGATGGACACCCTGCTCAGAAACGTTCTCGGCGATCCGGACAAGGCCGAGACCCGGACAGACAGCGGAAGAGCCGAAGAACGCGCGGGACGCGGGCGAACCGAGTGAAGCGGTGGACGCCCAAGAAGAGGACGGAGCGGGGGGTGCCGCGCCGTCGCCGGGCGATGGCTTGGGCGATGCGGCGGTGGCGACGGAGCCCGTCGAGGCGGTTCAGCCGGAAGAGACGACAGGCGCCGAGCAGAGGGAAGAGGTCGAGGAGCCGCTAGAGACTGGCGGGGAGGAGGAGCGCGAGGCGCCCCCGACCGAGGCGCCCGCGCCCGAAAGCTGTGCCCGAGCCCCCGGCGGCACCTAAGCGCGACAAGGACGAGGACCTCCAAGACCTCGTCGACGATCTGCTGAAGTCGCTCGAAGAGTAGGGGCCGGCGCCCCCGGTCGGGAACGCCGGCCCCGCCCGCCTTCACGACGTGGCGAAGGGAAGAGCGACGAAGTGCTCGCGCCCGTCACGGCTCATCAAGAGCAGCACGGCCTCGCGCCCGTCGCCCTGAGCGGCCTCGATACGCTCGTTCACGTCCGCCACCGATCCGACGGGCTCGTTGCCCACGGTGACAATCACGTCGCCGGGGCGAAGCCCCTTGCGATGCGCGGCGCTCCCCGGCGCCACTCCGGCAACGACCACGGCCCCTGAGCCGCCGTCCGCTTCCGCGCCGTCGCCTGCCTCGGGATCGACGTTCTCGAGGCGAAGACCGAAGGTGTCGAGGCGGCCGGCCTCATCTGCGCCGGTCATCTCCGCGCTGGCCTCGACCGGCGGCGCCAAATTGGCGATAGCCGCCGTGATCTCCATGGCCTGGCCGTCGCGCCAGACAGTGAGCGTGGCGGAGGTCCCGGCGTCGATGGCGGCGATCACTTGCGTCAACGCCCGCGTATCTTCGACCGGCAACTGATCCACGGCGATGATGACATCGCCGGACTCGAGCCCTGCGGCCTCGGCCGGGCTCTCCGGCTGCACGCTGGCGACGATGGCGCCCTCCGCGTTCTCCAACCCGAGGCTGGCTGCGATGTCGTCGGTGACCGATTGGATGTGGACACCGAGCCATCCGCGCATGACCCAGCCATGGGCCTTGAGGTCGTCGATGACGACCTTGGCCGTCGCGGCGGGGACTGCGAAGCCGATTCCCACATTGCCGCCGGAGGGCGAGACGATCGACGTGTTCACACCGATGACCTCGCCATGCAGATTGACGGCAGGCCCACCCGAGTTGCCGCGATTGATCGGCGCGTCGATCTGCAAATGGTCCTCGTAGGGGTTGGGGCCGGTTCCGCGTCCGCGCGCGGAGACGATGCCGAAGGTCGCGGTCTTGCCGACGCAAGGGATTGCCGATGGCGACCACCCAATCGCCGACGCGGGTGCTGTCCGCGGCAGCGAAGCTCACAGTCGGCAGAGGCTCGTCGGTCTCGACGCGGAGGAGCGCAAGATCGGTCCGCGTATCCTGGCCGACGATCTCGGCACCGAGCCGCGTGCCGTCGTCGAGAATCACGGTCACGGTCTCGGCGCCTGCGATCACGTGATTGCTGGTCACGATGTGGCCGTCGGCGTCGATGATGAAGCCGGAGCCGATGCCCCCGCTCGGCACCATGGGGCCGGGCTCGAGGTCCGGCGTGGAGCCGAAGCGCTCGGCGAAGTCGTCGCCGAAGAAGCGCTTGAAGTGCTCCGGCATACGCTGGCCGCTCCGCTGCTGGGCGGTGAGCGCGGGCCGGGCCTTGTGTGTGACCTCGATCGAGACGACCGCCGGGCTCACCGCCTCCACCACGCCGGCGAGGCTGGGTGTCGCCAGGACCTGATCGACCGAGGTCGGCGGTGTGATCGCCGTGGCCGTCTTGAGTGAACCAGCCAGGCCGCCGCCGGCCACCGCGATCATGCCAAGGCCTGCCAGGGCCGCGACGATGACCATTCGTTTGCGTTGCGGTGAAAGCGTGCTCATCGTTTCCTCACTTGCCGTTGCCGTGTTGCGCAGCGGCCGATGGCAGGCCGCAGCCCCTGTATGACAGGGCAAGCTGTCACCACGATGGACGCTTGATTAATTCTTCGTCATGATTCGACTGTCATGATTCGGCTCAGGCTTTCGGCAACAAAGCGGGGTCCTTCAGCAGAGGGCGACCGCCTCAGACCCTGCCAGCGCTGGAACAACTGCGTCTGCAGCGAAGAGGCGCCGCACGCCAGCACCGCATCGAGCCCTTCGCCGCTCCGGGTGACCCGAAGGCCGTCTTCGCCCGGCTGAAGACATTGGTGGCGGCCATGGAGCGAACAACCGTGGGTCGACGAGACTGACGAATACCTGCACGCGGTCTGCCGCACACGGCTCGGCTTCGCCGACGACCTCGAATGCCGCCTCTGCCCGGCGGAAGGCGTGATCCACGTGCGCTCCCACGCGCGCCTGGGCGGGAACGACCAGGGTGTGAACAGGAAGCGCGTCGAGGCGCTCCGGCAGCGCTTGCAAGGCGGGTAGGGACGGCTGCCGGATCTCGCCTTCCGTCGCGGTGGCCCGATCACGCGGCCGGCGGCGGGAAGGTCACCGTTGCACGCAGGCCGCCCAGCGGACTCTGGTCGAGTTCGAGCGTCGCCCGGTGCAAGGCGGCGACGCCCGCGACGAGGCTGAGCCCGAGGCCGCTGCCGCCGCCGGTGCGGCTTGCGTCCAGGCGGACGAAGCGTTGCAGCACGCGCTCCCGCTCCTCGGGCGGGATGCCCGGCCCCGAGTCCTCCACTATGAGTCGAACGGTGCCTGCTTCTCCACACGCAAGGCTCACCCCGATCCGGCCTTCGGGCGTGTAGGCGAGCGCGTTGTCGAGCAGATTGGCGACGAGTTGGGAGAGAAATTGAGCGTGGCCGGCCACGGGCTCCGTTTCGTCGAGCGTGGCCTCGATGGCGAGTCCCTTCTGCTCGGCGAGCGGGGCGTAGAGCTCGACCATGTCGCCGACGATGGCGCCGAGGTCGACAGGCGCCATGGCGATGCCGGCCTTGCCCGCTTCGGCGCGGGCGATCTCCATCAACGTGGCGAAGGTGCGCAGGATGCCGTCGGTCTCGGCGATCGCACGTTCGAGGGCGGCGCGGTGGCCGTGCTCGTCGTCTGGCCCTTCGCGAAGTGCAAGCTCCAGCCGCGACTTCAGCCGGGTGAGCGGGCTGCGCAGATCGTGCGCGACGCTGTCCGTCACCGTGCGCAAGCCCGTCATCAGCGTCTCGATCTCATCCAGCATCTCGTTGACCGTGATGGAGAGCCGGTCGAATTCGTCGCCCACGCCCGTGACCGGGCATGCGCCGCGAGAGATCGCCGCGCACGATGCGCTGGCCGGTCTCACGCACGGCATCGACCCGGCGCAGCATCCGCCGGCTCATGACGAGGCCGCCGAGGAGACCCAGAACCAGCGTAATTCCGAGCGCGCCACCGAGAGTTTCCAAAATCAGCCCTTCGAAGTCCGCACGGCCGCGGGGGTCGCGGCCGACGAGCAGCCGGAAGCCGCCCGGCAGCACGAAGGTGTGGGCGCGGATGGTGCCGTGCGCCTCTCGCCGCTCGCGCGCCTGGCCGAGATCTCCACCCAACCGTCTTCGGCCCCGGCAGCCTCTCGCGGCCAGGCGCTGAGATTGCCGGCGAGCGGCTGGAGCGCGGGATCGGCAAGGAGGTAGACGCTGTCCGGATCGCCGTAGGGGCCGCTGCGCTCCTCGATGACGGCGATCAAGCGGCCGACGCCCCGCGCCCGGTACTGCTCGGCAAGACCGCGAACCTCGGCCTCGATTGTAGTCGCTGGTCTGGCTGTCGATGACCCGCACCGTGGTCCAGTAGATGAACGCGAGCAGCACCAGGACCGAGGCGCCGAAGAGGCCGACGTAGAGGAGCGAGAGCCGGAACGTGGAGGTCCGGAGCAGCCTAGCCCGCATCTCTCGCCACAGTCAGGGTGTGCCGGTCGCCGCCGGGCGATGACGGAAGGGAAGAAGCTGCCCTGCCGCCCCGTGCGACTCCCCGGGCCATAGTGCAGTGCATCGGTGCGCGGCTTATGCGCCATGATCGCGTCATGTGCCGATCATGCTCCCGCGCGCGTATCCGCGCGACGCAGTGCAAGAGCGAGTGGGCTGCGGCAGGTGCAGACAATATCTGCGGGCGCTCGTCGCCTATGCGGCTGCCGCCCGCAGTCGTCGGTGCCGCAATCGAGGACGGCCGCCGCCCGTCTCCCAGAATCCCACTTATCCCACTTATCCCACTAATCCCGGCGAATCCCGCATTGAATTGTTGAAGTTTGCGCGTGTCGCGCGATGCGCATGACACGACCTTGGTGAAGACTGGGGGCTAGCCGTCGGCACGGAAGCAATACCCGACGCCGCGCACGGTGTGGATCAGGGGCGTGTCGAAGCCCTTGTCGATCTTGCCGCGCAGCCGGCTCACATGAACGTCGATCACGTTGGTCTGCGGGTCGAAGTGGTAGCCCCAGACATGTTCGAGCAGCATCGTGCGTGTGACAACCTGGCCTGCGTGGCGCATGAAATAGGTGAGCAGTGTGAACTCGCGGGGCTGCAGAACGATCTCGCGCCCCGCGCGCCGCACCGTGCGGGCGAGCAGGTCGACCTCCAAATCGGCGAGGCCGAGGCGGGTCTCGCCGCCAGCGCTGTCGGCGCGCCTGAGCAGCGCCTCCAACCGCGCCAGCAGCTCGGAGAAGGCGAAGGGCTTGGTCAGGTAGTCGTCGCCGCCGGCCCTGAGCCCTTCGACCCGGTCGTCCACCTGGGCGAGCGCGCTGAGGATGAGCACCGGCGTGCGCCGGCCCTTGCGGCGCAGCGTCTCGATCAGCGCGAGGCCGTCGAGGCCCGGCAGCATGCGGTCGACCACGAGCGCGTCGAAGCGGTGGTCCAACGCGAGCGAGAGCCCGTCCGCCCCGTCGTGGACGAGCTCGACCACGTGGCCGCTCTCGCTCAGGCCCTTCTGCAGATAGCGGGCGGTCTCGATGTCGTCTTCGACGACCAGCACGTGCATGGCCGCAACCTTGGCAGGTCGGGCGAAGCGATCAAGGGCCTCGCCACACACTCAACGCATTGTGTGCCGGACAGCACCTGAGCCGCCGACCTTGATATGGACCATTCCTTGGTCCATATTGGGGCTTAATTCGCCAATCATGAGGAACGCCGTCCGATGCGCATCTCCGTCAGCGAAGCGAAGGGACAGTTGACCGAACTCGTCCGCCGTGCGGAGACCGGCGACGAGGTGGTGCTTACCCGTCATGGCAAGGCAACCGTCCGTTTGGTGCCGGTGCAACCGCAGCCGAATGCCGACGCTCGCGGTGCGGTGATCGCCGCCGTGCAGGCGGCTGCCGAGAACAAACGGACCGCCGGAGCCAGCGCGGCCCGCAGTCAGGATTTTCTCTACGACGATGACGGCTTGCCGCAATGATCGCAGTGGATACCTCGGCCCTGATGGCGATCCTGCTGGACGAAGAGGAGACGGCGGCCTGCGCGGAGGCCCTGACCTCAAACGATCCGATCGTGATGTCCGCCGGAACCGTCGCCGAGGCATTGATTGTCGCAGAGAGGCGAAGTCTTGGCGTTGAAATGGCCACGCTCATCGATGGGCTCGGCCTGGAGATCGAAAACGTGACGCTGGGCGCGGCGCGGCGCGTGGCGGGCAGCTACGCGCGATGGGGCAAAGGCGTGAACCCCGCCGGACTGAACTTCGGCGACTGCTTTGCCTATGAAGTTGCAAAGACGCGCGATTGCCCCTTGCTCTATGTCGGCGCGGATTTTGCGCGAACCGATGTCAAGAGCGTGTTGTGAGCGCGGGCCAGGCTCACTTGCGGCGGCGGGCGGGCGGTGCGCCGTAGAGCGCGAGCCTGACCGCGCACCACGCCGCCTCCAATCCGCGCCGTAAAGCCGCCCCGTCGCGCGCGAGCAGGCGCACTCCCACACCGGCCTCGTTGGGAAGCGCCGAGGCACCGCCGTAGAAATCGTCCGTCGGCGTGAGGGCGGAGCGGAGAGCGGCCAGGATGACATCCCGCGCAGGCCCACGATGGGCGACGACGACACTGCCCTGCGCGGGCCAGCGCGCGATCTGGCTCGCACCCTCCGCCAGACGATCGCCGGTGAGGACGTAGCGCTCCAGCGCGAGCAGGCGCGCCCCCTCATCGCGGATACGCATCTCCGCCTCGAAGCTCTCGAACCGTCGATCCTCGCCGCCGGGGTCGTGGTGAGCGAAGCTTTCGCACGCGATGACCGTGGCACCCTCCGCGGCCTCGATCTCCAGCACCGAGGTGAGCCGGGCGCCCGGAAACATGATCAGCGGGTCCGGCAGGTATTCGAGAAGCGCACCGTCAGCCGCCTCCAGCGCGACCGTCTGCCGCGCCGGCGCGGCAGGCATCCGGTGCACGATGGTTGCCGCCTGGGTGGTCACATGGGCGGCGCTGCGCCTCTGCGCTGCAGGTCATGCGCAGGTCCTCGCCCTGGTAGATGCCGCCTGAGACCGACTGGAGATAGAGCGTCAACGCTCCGGCCGGCGCCTCGTCGAAGTAGAACGGCCGGGTGATGTGGAACGGGTAGCCGACGCGCTGGCGGGAGATGTAGCTCTGGCCATCGGGCGCGCGGGCGAAGCGGAGCGCCGCCTGGGGCCCCTCGTTGGGCCGGGCGGCCGGCGTCGGGGTGGCAGCCAAGAGGCGCGCGCTCAGCGCAGCAGGTAGTTCTGGCCGAGGGTGATCTTGTCGATCGGCTCGCAGGCCGCCAGCGTCCCGTCGACGAAGACCTCGAAGGTCTGGGAGTCGACGCGGATGTCGGGGCAGGCGTCGTTGTGCAGCATGTCCTTCTTGGTGAGCTTGGTGAAGCTCCCGATCGGCAGGATCGGCTTTCTGAGGCCGATGCGGCCGGGCACGTCGATATCGAGCGCGCGCCGATGCGCGAAGACGGCGCTCAGCGTCGCCGGCGCGCGTCCGTGATGGCCGAACTGGGGCCGCATGATGACCGGCTCGGTCTGGAAGTAGCTGCCGGAGGGATCGCCGCTCTGGCCCCAGGCGACGAAGCCGCCCTTGATGACGCCGAAGGGCTTGATGCCGAAGAAGGCGGGCTTCCAGGTGACGAGATCGGCCATCTTGCCGGGCTCGAGCGAGCCCACGTATTGGTCGACGCCGAAGGCGATCGCCGGGTTGATGGTGTATTTCGCGATATAGCGCTTGATGCGCTCGTTGTCGGCGTCAGCGGTGGTCTCTTCGGGAAGCCGCCCGCGCTGGTCGCGCATCTTGCTCGCAAGCTGCCAGCAGCGCGTGATGACCTCGTTGATCCGCCCCATGCCCTGGCTGTCAGAGCCGAACATCGAGACGGCGCCGATGTCGTGCAGCACGTCCTCGGCCGCGATGGTGCCGTGGCGCACCCGGCTCTCGGCAAAGGCCACATCCTCCGGCAGGTCGTAGCGCAGCAGGTGGCAGGCCATGGTCATGTCGAGCTGCTCGTCGAAGACGTTGACCGTGTAGGGGTTGGTCGGGTTGGTCGACGACGGCAGGCAGTGGGACTCGCCGTTGCAGCGGATGATGTCCGGCGCGTGGCCGCCGCCGGAGCCTTCCGTGTGATACATGTGGATGGTGCGGCCTGCGATGGCCGCCATGGTGTCTTCGTAGAAGCCGGACTCGTTCAGCGTGTCCGTGTGGATCTGGACCGGGAAGTCGTACTCGGCGGAGGCGCGCAGGCAGGCATCGATGGTGGCCGGCATGGCGCCGTAGTCCTCGTGGATCTTGACGCCGATGATGGCGCCGTCGAGATGCTCGACGATGGTCGCCGGATCGTGGGACGAGCCGCGGCCGAAGAAGCCGAAATTGATCGGCCACGCTTCCGATGCCTCCAGCATCCGGTAGGTGTTCCAGGGGCCGCCGCAGTCGATGGCGAAGAGCGGTCCCATGGTGCCGCCGATCATGGTGGTGAGCCCGCTCGCCAGCGCGTGGTTGCACTGGTCCGCCGACAACCAGTGGACGTGGACGTCGATACCGCCCGGCGTCACGATCAGACCGCTGGCCGGGTAGTAGGTGGTGTTGGGGCCGCAGACCAGGTTGGAATCCACCCCGTCCTGCGTGTTGGGGTTGCCGGCCTTGCCGACGCCCGCGATCTTGCCGTCCTTGATGCCGATGTCGGCCTTCACGAGGCCGAGCACGGGGTCGATGACGGTCGCGTTCTCGACCAGCATGTCGATGGCGCCGTCGGCTGCGGAGGTATGGGCGTCGTAGGACATGCCGTCCCGCATCACGCGGCCGGCGCCGGTCCAGCACTCGTCGCCGTAGGTGGTGTGGTCGTGCTCGATCTCGCCGATCAGCGAGGTATCGCCGAGCCTGATCTTGTCGCCCTTGGTCGGCCCGTAGTAGCGGGCATAGGTCTCGCGTGCGATCTTCACCATCTGCCTACGCTCCCCGGAAGCCGCCCGCTTTCGCGCGGGCGATCGCCTGATCCTTGACTTCGGGCGAATCGATCATGCCCTCGGTGAGGCTGTTGAAGCCGGTGACCCGGCCGCGGCCGCCGATTTCCACCAGCGCGACCTCCTTCTCCTGCCCCGGCTCGAAGCGCACGGCAGTGCCGGACGGGATGTCGAGGCGCATGCCGAAGGTCGCCGCCCGGTCGAAGTCGAGCGCCCGGTTGATCTCGAAGAAGTGGAAGTGGCTGCCGATCTGCACCGGGCGGTCGCCGGTGTTGGTGACCGTGACCGATCCGGTCCTCCGGCCCGCGTTCAGCTCGATCTCCTCGTCCGGCGTGATGATCTCGCCGGCGCGGGGGCTGGGCGGGCTCTCCGCCGTGCCCGGGCGGATCGGCTGGTGCACGGTGATGAGCTTGGCGCCGTCCGGGAACACCGCCTCGACATGGATCACCGGAATCAGCTCCGGCACGCCCGGCATCACGTCGTCCGACGTGAGGATCTCCGCGCCATAGCCCATGAGGTCCTTGAGGGTGCGGCCTTCGCGCGCGCACATCAGGAGCTCGTCGCAGATATAGGCGATCGCTTCCGGGTGGCTGAGCTTGATGCCGCGGCGCTTGTGCTCGCGCGCAAGCTGGGCGGCAGTGAAGATGGTGAGCCGCTCCTGCTCCGTCGGGGTGAGGTTCATCGGCCGTCGTCTCCCTCTTGCGTCGTCGGAAAAGAGTAGTCGCCGGAGCGCGCCGAAGACAGCCGAATTTGCTGCCGACCGCGGGTCGCATAGACTCGAGGGGTAAGGAGAGAGGGAGCGGCGCCGATGATAGCCAACACCAACCGCCAGATTGTGCTCGCTGCGCGCCCGGTGGGGGCGCCGAAGGAGACGGATTTCCGCCTCGTCGAAGGGCCGGTGCCGCCGCCGGCAGAGGGCGAGCTGCTGGTGCGGACGATCTGGCTCTCCCTCGACCCCTATATGCGGCTCCGCATGGGCACGGACCTCCGCTACTACCCGCCGATCCCGCTCGGCGACGTGATCGTGGGGGGCGCGGTCAGCCGGGTGGTGGAGAGCCGCCACCCGAAATTCGCGCCCGGCGATATCGTCGACGACTACACCGGCTGGCAGGACTACGCCATCGCGCAGGGCGCGAGCGCGCGCAGGGTGAACCCGGCGCTGGGGCCGCTGTCGACGGCCGTCGGCGTGCTCGGCATGCCGGGGCTCACCGCCTATCTCGGCCTCGTCAAGGTCGGCCGGCCCGCGCCCGGCGATACGGTCGTCATCTCGGCGGCGTCGGGCGCGGTCGGCGCGGTCGCAGGCCAGGTGGCGAAGATCGCGGGCTGCCGGGTCGTCGGCATCGCCGGCGGGGCAGAGAAGCTGCGCTACCTCACGCAAGAGCTCGGCTTCGATGAGGCCATCGACCGGCACACCGACGACTTGCCCGGCGCCCTCGCCGCGGCGTGCCCCGATGGCATCGACGTCTACTTCGAGAATGTCGGCGGGCCGATCGGCGATGCGATCTATCCCCTGCTCGCTCACGGCGCCCGCGTCGTGATCTGCGGCGGCATTTCCCACTACAACGCGACCGAGCCGCCCAAGGTCGCGAGCCACTCTCGCGCCGATCCTCTTCACCGAGACCGAGGTGAAGGCTTCAACATCTACTCCTACGGCGCGCACTACGAGCACGCGCGCAAGCGCCTCGCCCGCTGGCTGGGGAAGGCCGGCTCGCCTTCAAGGAGGACATCGTGGACGGCCTCGAGAACGCGCCGATGGCGTTTCAGCGCTTCTTCGACGGGCAGCAACTTCGGCAAGCTGCTGGTCAGGGTCTCGGCGGAGTAGTCGGCTCCGCCGCCCGTGACCGCTATTCGTGGCCGTGGACGTGGTCCCGGCCCACCCGGATGCAGACCGGCACGGGCCGGTCGCTATCGGGATCGGGGGGCGAAGCGTACATGTGCTCGAGCTCCTCGAGCACGACGGCGGTGATGTAGGGGATCGGCAGGCCCATGGCCTCCGTCACCGGCACCCAGCCGAGATCGAGCAGCTCCCCGTTGCCGTCGAGCGTCCCCGACGCGTCATCGGCACGGGCCAGGAAGAACCGCGCATTGAAGCGCCGCGGCAGCCCCGGCGGGTGACCGCGCGGTAGATGTAGTCGAGCTTGTCGAGGGCGGGTGCGCGAGGCCGGTCGCGTGAAAGGCCTGCCATTCGGGCCGGAGACGGCCGTTTGTCGCCGGCGCTTGCAGGCCGAGGGCGAGCCCGGTCTCCTCGAATGTCTCGCGCACGGCCGCAGCAGCCAGCGAGCGGGCGCGCGCAAGCGAAGCGGAGCGCGCAAGCCGTGCGGCCACGCCGGGCCTGAGCTCCGTCGCCGGGCGCACCCAGCGATCGCAGGGCTCGACGCCGCCGCCCGGAAACACGTACTGGTCGGGCATGAACACCTGGCGGCGGGGGCGGCGGCCCATCAGGACCTCGGGCCCACCGGTACCGTCGCGCAACAGAACGAGCGTGGCGGCGTCCTTAACCCGCATGTCTCACCAGGGTCATGGTCTGCGCGGCGCTGTCCGGCCGACAGGGCAGGAGAGGCGCGCAGCGCGATGCAGGGACATCGGGCAAGTGCTTCGACGCACCATGTCGGCCGGAGAGCGCCGCCCTTTGGGTCGCGCCCAGGCGCCCGCCCGCGGCGTCGCGGGCCTCAACCGTATTCCCCGATACGCTTTTCGGCCCGCTCCTGGCGGATCGAACGCCTGGGCGCGACGCAGGCCGTGACCATGGTGAGACATGCGGGTTGGGTCTCGGGCTGCGGCGGCTCACGCCATTCGCACTCCGTCGGGCGTGCCGTCCTGCACGCGCGTCAGTCCTTGACGTAGATGACGCCCCACTGGTTGTCGGCGACGTCGCCCGACCCCGAGACGGTGAAGTTGGAGGTGATGATCCCGCTTGCACCCTCCAGCGGCCCGGTGCCGCCGTCGACCCGCCAGCTGATCCCGCCGTGAGTGAGCCCGTCAATTGCGCTCGGACCCATCCATCCGGTCCCGATGGTGCTGAAGTCGAGTGTGCCGGCCTCGCCGAAATCGATGGTCCCGTCCTCGGTGAATTCGCCATCCTCGAGCATCTGGACGTTCGACTGTGAACGACGCCCGCTGCTCGGACGCGTCCTCCATAGAGACCTGCGGCCCGCCCGCATCGAGCGAGGTCGAGAGACCATTGGTGGTCGAGCCCGTCTTGGCCCAGAGCTCGTTCTCCTTGCCCTCCTGCGGCCCGGCGGACCCTCTGAATTGCATGGCGTAGCCGATCTGCCTCATCACTCACACTCCCATTCTACGCACGGCCCCTGCTCATGCAGGAGCCCCGCCGTTCCGATTGTCGGCGCATCTTACGCGCAAGCGAGCGCCATGCCGATGGTCGATCATGCATCGCCCAAGTGTCACGGCGAACGTTGCGCCGTGACGGCATTTCCGTTACCTCTCAAGGCTGTGCGGAAGGAACGCGGCGGGCCGGCATGGACGGGAACGGCATGGCGGGTGCGGTTGCTGACGTCGGCGGCGGACCGCCGGTGAAAGCCTGCGGATGACGGTCGCCGCGGGCCGGGGCTCGCACTTCGGCCACCGCGCGAACCTCTTCGCCGACCGGCATTTCAAGTGGCTGGTGATCGCGCCGTCGATCATCGTGCTCCTGCTGATCGGCCTCTACCCGATTATCCACACCGGTATCGTCAGCTTCCAGGACATCACCATGCTGGCCGAGGACACCTCCTGGTCCGGCGGCAGCACTACGCGGCCCTCTTCTCGGACACGCGGCTCTGGGAATCGATGGGCCACACCTTCCTGATTCTGGCGATCGCGCTCCCCATCGAGCTGGTGCTGGGCCTCCTCATGGCGCAGCTCTTCCTGGAAAAGATGCCGCTCAAGCAGGTGTTCGTCGCGCTTCTCATCATCCCGACCGTCATCTCGCCCATCGTCGCAGGCTCCACGTGGCGGCTGATGTTCGACAACCAGTACGGCCCGATCAACCAGATCATCGGCTGGTTCTCGTCGGACCCGATGGCGATCCTCTGGCTGTCGCGGCCGGAATGGGTCTATCCCGCGATCCTGGTCTGCGAGGTGTGGCAGTGGACGCCGTTCATGTTCCTGATCCTGCTGGCCGCGCTCTCCAACGTCGATCGCAGCCTGATCGAGGCGGCTGAGATCGACGGCGCCTCGTTCTGGAAGATCTTCTTCAGGATCACGCTGCCGGTCATCAAGCCGGTGCTCGTCATCGCCATCCTGATCCGTGCGCTCGATCTCTTCCGCATCTTCGACATCATCTGGGCGATGACCAAGGGCGGCCCCGGAACGATGACGGAGACGATCTCGATCTACACCTACATCCGGGCCTTCAAGGAATTCGAGACGAGCTATGCGGGCGCGATCGCCTTCCTGGTGATCATCCTGCTCTCGATCATCGTCATTTTCGCGCTCAAGCGCGTGGAGATCGCCCGATGACGGTGGAACGCTGCCCCCACCCGAACCAGCAGGTGGCCGCGCTGGCTGACCCGCGAGCGCCGGCGCATGACCTGGCGCTTCCTGATCGCGCTCGTGGTGCTGGTGTTCTTCCTCTTCCCCGTCTACTGGCTCTTCATCACCTCGATCAAATCGGCGGGCGATATCTTCGCCCGCCCGCCGGTCTGGTTCCCGAACGAGCCGAACTTCCGCATCTTCGGGATCCTGTTCAAGGACGGCGACGTCTGGGCGATCTACAACAGCCTCATCATCGCCAGCGTCTCGACCGTCGTTGCCATGGTGCTGGGCACCGCGGCTGCCTACAGCCTCGCGCGCTTCAAGACCGGCGGCCAGAACCTCGCGATCTGGATCATCTCGCAGCGGATGATCCGCCGATCGTCATCGTCTTCCCGATCTTCCTGCTGTTCGTCTGGTTCGGCTGGATCGACAGCTACGTCGGGCTGATCCTGCTCTACATCGCGTTCAATCTGCCCTACGTGATCTGGATGATGCGCGGCTACATCGAGGACATCCCGGTGGAGGTGGAGGAGAGCGCGCTGACCGACGGCTGCTCGCGCTGGCAGGCGCTGCGCAAGATCGTCTTCCCCATGGCGCGCACCGGCATCTTCGCGACGGCGGTGTTCACCTTCATCTTCGCGTGGAACGAGTTCGTCTTCGCGCTGATTCTGACGCGCCACGAAGTGCTGACCTTCCCCGTGCTGGTCACCCACTATTACGGCGCCCAGTCGACCTTCTGGGCGAAGATCGCGGCGCTTTCGGTGCTTGGCACTCTGCCGGTGTTCTTCGCGGTCGCGACGCTCCAGCGCTTCCTCGTGCGCGGGATCACCATGGGCGCGGTCAAGGGGTAGGAGGAGCGCGATGGCCGGAGTCAGGCTGCGCGGCGTGCACAAGCTCTACGGCAAGGTTCATGCCGTGCGCGGTGTGGATATCGAGATACCGGACCGCGCCTTCACCGTGCTGGTGGGGCCGTCGGGGTGCGGCAAGAGCACGCTCCTGCGCATGATCGCAGGCCTGGAGGTTGTGACCGAAGGCACGGTGGAGATCGATGGCGCGGTGGTCAACGACGTCCGGCCCAAGGACCGGGACGTCGCGATGGTGTTTCAGAACTACGCGCTCTACCCGCACATGTCGGTGTTCGAGAACGTGGCCTTCGGGCTCAGGATGCGGAACGCGCCTAATTCCGAGATCCGCCCGCGGGTGGAGCGGGCGGCCACCATGCTGGGGATCGCGGACCTGCTCGAGCGCCAGCCGCGCCAGCTCTCCGGCGGCCAGCGCCAGCGCGTCGCCATGGGCCGCGCGCTGGTGCGGGACGCCAAGCTCTATCTCTTCGACGAGCCGCTGAGCAACCTCGACGCCCAGCTGCGCGATGAGATGCGCACCGAAATCAAGCGGCTGCATCAGGACATGCAGCGGACCATGATCTACGTGACCCACGACCAAGTGGAGGCGATGACGCTCGCCGACCGGATTGTGCTGCTGCGCGACGGCCAGATCGAACAGGAGGGGCCGCCGCTGGAGCTCTACGAGCGGCCGGCGACCCGCTTCGTCGCGGGCTTCATCGGCTCGCCGGCGATGAATTTTGCGACGGCACGGATCGAGGCGGCGGACGGCGCGGCCGCGGTGAGGGCCGGTGACCATGCCTTCGCCCTGCCGCCGGAGCGGGCGGCGCGCTACGCCGGCGACGGCGGCCGCGACGTGCTCTTGGGCATCAGGCCCGAGCACATGTACCGGGCCGAGGGCGAGACGCCCAGGCCCGACTGCGCGCGGCTCGCGACCACCGTCGAGATTGTCGAGCCCATGGGTGCCAACACGCTCGTCAACTTCCACCTCGGCGAGACCTCGATGCTTGTGCGCCTCGACGGCTCCGCCGCCGAGCAGCCGGGGGATTCGCTCGCGCTCGACGTGGACATGAACCGGGCCGTGCTCGTCGATCCGGAGAGCGAGCGGGTAATCTGAATTGGAGCGCGTCCGTCCAAGACGGACGCGCGACAGGCCGCGACTGCGGCCCGCCGCTCGTGCGGCGCCCTCGCGGAGGCGCCGGCCGCAGGCCGGCTGCCGTGAGCGATAAAGAGTCAGAGCGCTTCCAAGTGAATCGGAAACGTTCTAGCCGGCCGCGGACAGCGTCCCGATCCCCGCGATCACGATGGCGACGCCCAGCCACTGAAGCGGCACCACTTGCTCGCGAAGGACGAACCGCGCCAGCAGGATCGTCACCACCGAATAGGCGGAACTGGTGACGATCGCGAACTCGCCGTTCTCGAGCGCGAGCCCCAGCGTAGACGAAGATGTAGCCGAGGGTGTCCACCAGGGCGAGGAGGGCGATCAGCGGCCACGCGCGGAGCGGCATGCGCGGCACCTTGCGCATGACCAGGAAGCTCGCGCCCAGGACGACAGCGCCGACAATCCGCCCCGACAGCAGCGTAAGCGGCAGCCCGTAGCGCTCGATTGCCTCGTCCGCGGCGAGAAGAGCGACGGCGAAGAAGAACGCCGACCGATCGCCATCAACACCGATCGCCGCAGCACCGCCGGCGCGTATTCCGGCTTGTCGCCGCCTTCGATGCGGGAAACCGCGAGGGCAACCAGCCAGATACCGCCGAGCGTCGCTCCCATCGCGACCCAGTGGATGGGCTCCGGCCGGGCGCCGAAGACGACCGTCATCGGCACCGCGAAGGCCGGGTAGCTGGAAACCATCGGCGAGCCGAGCGAGACTGGGCCGCGGGTGAGCGCCTCGAACAGCATGAACGTCGCCAGCATGGTGGCGACGCCGTTGAGAGCCAGCAGCCAGAGCCCGGAGGGCTCCAAGACAAGCGTTTCCCCGCTGGCCACGATGTAAACGCCGACGGCGAGGCTGCCCACCAGCATCATGCCGAAGAGCGCCTGCGGCACACCGATCGCACGGCCGAGGAAGCGGGCGGCGAAGTCGCCGACGCCCCAGCTGGCCGCAGCGCCGACGCCGAGAAGCCCCGATCCTGCGATCACGGCGCGACTGAATTGGGAGCGCGGCCGGAACTGACCGCGCCGGGGATCGGACGACGCATCATCGACATGGTTGAGGCACACCGTGGCGGGATGTTCACGATACCGCAATGCGCGGACCAGGGCAGGGAGTAATAGTGCGAAATGAGGCGGAAAGAGACATCATGAAAGCGAAAACCGCTGTAGGGAGACGGCCATGCACATCGCCTGCCTGACCTTCGACTTCGATGCCGTCTCGGGCTACATCGCCCAGGGCCAGCGCTCGCCGACGCCGATCAGCCGCGGCGAGTTCGGCCTCGTCGGCGCCGAGCGCATCCTGGCGCTGCTCCAGCGGCACGGTATCGCTGCGACCTGGTTCATCCCGGGCCACACGATCGAGACCTATCCCGCGATGTCGGCCCGCATCGCCGAGGCCGGCCACGAGATCGGCCATCACGGCTGGACCCACATGACGCCCGTCACCATGTCGCGCGACGAGGAGGAGGCGGGCCTCCAGCGCGGCACCGATGCGATCGTCAAGCTGTGCGGGCGGAAGCCCCGCGGCTACCGCTCGCCCGCCTGGGACCTGAGCGAGAACACCATCGAGCTCCTGGTTGCCCGCGGCTTCCTCTACGAGAGCAGCATGATGGGGAACGACTACACGCCCTATTTCGCGCGCACGGGCGATGTGATCGCACTCGAGGAGCCCATGGTCTTGGGGCCCGAGACCAGCCTGGTCGAGATGCCGATCAGCTGGACGCTGGACGACTACCCGCACTTCGAATACGTGCGGAACAAGCAATACAGCATGCCGGGCCTGATGCCGGCGGGCGGCGTGCTGCAGAACTGGGTGGACGATTTCGACTACATGACGCGCACCATGGAGTGGGGCGTGCTCACCTACACTTGCCACCCCTTCGTGATCGGCCGCGGCCATCGCATGCTGATGCTGGAGCGGCTGATCGACGCGCTAAAAGGGATGGGCGCGACCTTCCTCACCATGGAAGACGCGGTGAACGCCTGGCTGGAGCGCTCTGGTCGGTCAACGTGACGCGCGGATGAGGTCCGCGGCCTTCTCACCGATCATGACGCAGGTCGCGTGGAGATTGCCGCTGACGATCGCCGGCATGATCGACGCATCCGCGACATAGAGGTTCGCGAGCCCGCGCACCCGCAGGCGGTCGTCGACGACGGCCATCGGATCGTGGCCCATCTTGCAGGTGCTCGCCGGGTGGTATGCGCTCATGGCGCTCTCGCGCAGATAGGCGCGCCACTCGTCGTCGCTCTGCACGTCGGTGCTGGGCCGATAGTGACCGACGATAGAGCGGGACAAGGGCTCGGTCTCGAAAATCCGGCGTTGCAGCTTGGCACCGGCGAGCAGCAGATCGAGGTCGCGCTCGTCGGCGAAGAGGTTGGGCTGGATCGCCGGTTGCGCGAACGGATCGGCTGAGGCGAGCCGTACCCAGCCGCGGGAGAAGGGCCGGAGCACGTTGATCAGCCCTGTGACCGCCGGCCGGTCGAACAGGACCGGCCCCTCCTCCGACAGGTCGAAGCCGGCAGGCGAGAACAGATACTGGATGTCGGATCGGCCCGCGCCCCCGTCGTGGCGCGTGAAGGCGGTCACCTGGGAATGGGGCGTGGACCCCGGCCCGGTCCCTGTGAGCAGCCACTGCGCGCCCAATACCAGCGCGCGGGCGAGGCCGGTTTGCATGTTATAGGTCGTCACGTTTGCCCAGCAGTTCTGGGCGAGGCCGGATGATCCTGAAGGTTCTCGCCGACGCCCGGCAGGTCGTGGACCACCGGCACGCCGAATTCGCTCATATGGGAGGCAGGCCCGACGCCAGAGAGCATGAGGAGCTGCGGCGACGCGAAGGCGCCGGC